CGGCCAAGTATCTCAAAATCTCAATGTCAAGATGAAACATTACAAGTGGGTTGATGTCAAGCATAACTGTTACTGCAAGAACCCAGTACTGACGATGGTAGCAACGATGAAGAGGCGGGCGATATATATTCCTTCATCTCACTCCACTTTCGAACAACAGAGACCTCTTTGCTTCAACGTAGAAGACATGGACATACGTGTATGATGGCCAAGCTCATTGAACAGCGTGACAAAACAATCAAGTTGCTGAGCCACATGTCCGCGTCTTTAAAGATGCAATAGGCATTTGCAAAATACAAGAGCGTGTCATCAACTGATGAAAGCGAAATACAAGACACGAGAGCATCCATACCAAATCCGAGTATTACCAATGCACTCGAATTTCGAGGGCAATGAGGCATGAGTAAAGACGATCGAATAGTCTGGAAAGAGCATTCAACGCTGCCAAGGACGGAAAATGGATTACTGAAAATGTATCTAGGACATGGGCTAGTAATATCAGAAGTTCAGCATTATTAACTTGCGCCTAGGCTTTGAGGATGATCATATGGTACCTCACGACCAATCCTTGAACAGTTTAGACTTCTTTAATTGTTGGTCTCAGAAGAGAACGTTGTGTGCACAACTCACATACACTTGTACCGATCTATTTATAGTTTATGAATGTACGTTCGGTGTTGTAAGAATCGCTACTGATTTAATTCGCTGTTCTCTTTGAATTCATATAATCCTCTCCTCAGTTCACTAACAACCCATTCACATTCGATCCTCACTCGTCAACAGAAATCTGAAAGGTATAACAACGACGTTCAGAAAGGTTTGGCATCTCGAGAATTGATGCCAAAATGAATATCAAATGCACAACTTTATTACTCCCATGACTCCAATTGCACGACAATACTATGATTACCAGCCGTTTTAGACCTCTCAACGCTTCGATTTCTTCCATGGTACTCTGGTCTCGATTTTGTACAACGACGACGCGTAGTCCCTCATTTATTCTGCATCACTCATATCACTTACCTAGCAGTTTCGAGCGATAGAATATGTTCACGACGACTTACTGCACCAGGCAAAGGTGGAAGTTATTGACGATACACGTGACGAGTAGTCTATACTGTGCTCCGTCATCACAAACAAAGTAGAAAATAAACGAAGACAGGGAAAAATTGTTTTGGATATGCGGATAGGCAATCGGATATAGTGTGGAAGCGAGATTTGCATTAATGTTTCGGTAACTTGGCCTTTATTTACACACATTGCAAGTCACCCACAGTGCAGCATTCACAACTTACTACGTTATGATGTCATGGATACGTGAAACGTTATATTCCTATGTTTGAGTGACTTGCGGTGAAATTGTCTCGCCCTTAGTGGCCTCGATGAATAATCGCTTTTCCGCTTGTCGTCCCGTCTTTGCATTTATCGTATGTATCTTGGCTATCGGATAATAATAATGAGTTGACTTTCTGTACATAGTTATATAAGGC